CATTTTTCTAGAATCTTCACGACAAACTCATCTATCCACCTGAGGATTATGAGTTCTATGGAGCAAAATCTGCCTAGAACAGGCCCCTGATGGTCCGTGGCTTCTGCGTACAAAGTCTGCCCCTTGGGAACCCCACTGGTTTAAGAACAAGCAATGCCTGGAGGAGTCTCTCCCCCAGGGCCCTCAGGGAGGCACCAAATTTACTTCAGCCACGTGAAAGGGCCCACGAGGAAATGAAGCACAAGATTCAGGCGCACAAAGATGGAAGTTACTGACCACTCTGCCGCTTCTTATCCTAAAACAGACAGAAATAACAGGAAATACTGGCGGTAACATATTGCCTTCATGGTTGCCACCAAGATGGGACCATCCAGGGTCAGTAGGTGCCTCCTGTGTGGCCTGAGGGCACAACACATGGTTCCCTAACTCACGGAATCAGAATCAGTGGGGCCCACCAAATCAACATACCTGTGGGCGGGCCGCTGCATTTGAAGCCCACCCGAGGGTGGTTCTGTTGGTTCTCTGAGGTCCGAGAAGCACGAGTGTGGCTGACCCTGCTGGAACGATCCCCTTTCACCGCGTTCAACAGCCCCCTCGATAGAGTCAGGCAAAGAAGAGGATCAAGGTGGTTTTTAGCATGGTACCCAACGTAGCAAATAAAATTAAGTGACTTCAGCACAGACTTTCTTTTTGCTGCAGTCTTTTCTCAGACGGGAACAACTGATGACCCCTCCCAGCCATATGGGTCTGTTCTTTGAGTTTTCATACCTTCTGGAAAGTTCAGCTGTTCCCTTGTTCATTCCCCCAGAACATCACTGCCTCAGGATGTTCTGCAGAGGAGGGATGGCCGTGTTTTGGGCAGACTCGGTGCTTTCTGTCTGCAGGGACACGCAGCCCACTGGGCATCGGTGTGGAGGGTCGGGGCTCCAGGGCAAGTTCACAACTGTGAGCTCGCGACGCTCATCTTCTATCAAAAGCCCAGGTGGGGGAGACAGTGTGACAGAGCCACATCGAGGGCCCACAGCCTATCACTCCCTACGCAGTTCGAATGTCAGCCCTGGATTTAGCCAGACCTTCAGAGAACCACAGACATGGGCCATTTGCCTTGGCCCTGAACTTCCTTCCTGAAATGTGCCTCGTCATGACCATGTCACTGTCCCTTTGAAGGAGGCCCTGGTAAATTACCATTCAAAGCCTGCTAGCATGTTGGTGTAGCATACTGACGATGTCACCCCCTGAATCACCCAGTGTCCCCTCCCTGAATGAATGCACATGCACACGGCGTTTTAGAACTGACCTGTGTCTCTCCTGCGGAGGCATATTTTTTACTCCTTGGAAACTGCAAGTCATAGCTGACCTTCATATTTCCCTTTTTGCTTTGGTGGCAAGGAAACTCAAAAGTGACGATTTAGTCCAGGTTTTAGCAATTATTTAGGACCTATGCCCTATATGCGCCACTGTAATGGGGGGGGCAAATGAGAATGAGCTCCCTTCTTCACCACTCCCTCTGGGGTGAGGGGAGGGAAAAAAAGGTTGAAAATCTCTAGGTATCTTTCTTTTCCTATAGTTCCATTTTTCACTATATATTTTCCCTTTATTTTATTGTATCAAATAGAGTATTTAAAGACCCTCCCCAATTTGTTGTGATATAAGATACAAATATAAACAGAGAAAGGAAGGAAGGAAATAAATCCTTTTCCACCAAGCCACATTTGGGACAGGGGATATTCTGCTACTTTTACAGGCATATTTGATAAGACATCACCTCTACCAAGAAAAAGATTTCTGCAACACTCCAGGAATTGTCACACGTATCAGAAACTGGGCATCGCCAACACTTGTGACCTGGCCACTGATGGACCCAAAGCACTAGGCAGTATCCTTCATCTGCCAACAGCGTGCTGATGCCCATGATTTTCTTGCAAGCTCCTTCCAACTTTGCCAAGGCGCTGTGAACAAAGCCTCGGAAGCCCTGGTGTGGGAGGGGCCCGGGGCCCGGGTCTCTGCTGCCCACAGGTGAGGGAGAGGCAGTGATGTTCTCCTCACGGTGGAGAGGAGGCAAATGTGCAGCCTCCACGTCTCATTTTCTCTCCTCAGCCAGACTCCTCATGTAAGTCACTCACGAGGCCACCAGCAAGTGTCTTAGTGTCACTCTGAGGTGAGGAGGGTGCTGAGATGCACCTGTCCTCACCGCATTTATTCTGTCTTCAGAACCCCAGAGTCACCCTCCATGGGAACATCTGGGCGGACATGTCTGTCACGGCACAGCTGTCACCCCTCCCCTCCCCTCCCACAGGCAGGCAGGCTCTCCAGTTCCGGCACTGTGTGTCTCAATGTAGCCTCAGAGTCACTCCCAACCCAGCGGACAGCCATGACTCGAGCTAGCAGGAGAGAGCAAAGCTGCTTGCCAGCCTCAGCAACAGTGTGCCCAGGCCAGCAGCGTGGCCCCTGTGCACCAGGGGGAGCCTGCCTCTGCAGAGGGGTGCCAGGCTGTGAGCACGGGGTCTGGCTTTTCCCTCTCTCTATAGGCTTGGCTGACTTTTTTAGGCTGCAGCCTGGACATTCTTTTCAAATTTCCTGCTCAGGAGTCAGTGTCTGGGACATTAGCGGATATGTAGCCTGGGTTGACCTTAGACGTGGGTTCCATTGACTTTCAGCTGTGTTCACTTGTGTCCAAACATTAGCTTAGTAACTGGGAGTGACTGGCAAGTCATCACCTGGGGAAAGCCGGGTGAGGGCACCCATGGAACACCTTGACTGCCCCAGAGTCTGAGCCTGCAGACCTTCCCTGGCCCCCATCACGGAGAGGGTGACACTGGGGCACAATGAGAATGGCATCAGGCATCACAGATGAGGGCATGATCTGCAAGTTGCAAACCCTCTGATCTTCCATGGCTCTAGTGAAAAGGAAACCAGAAAGTACCCAGAGGGACAGGGGCAGGATAAGGGCTATCCCCCCTTTGCCCAGCAGAGGGCGCAGCCAGCACCTTCTTCGCACCTGGGAGGAGACCAGGACCAAACGTGACTCCAGGGGACAGATGCCTCCAAACTGAATGTTGACTTTCCATGGGACTTATGGGTCCTTTTCTCTTAAAGCCATGAAGAGGAATAAGCCTCTCTTGGTTTGAGCTGACAGTTCTGATAAAGGAAGGTGTCCCACACTGGCTGCCAACCGCATGCACGTGCACACACACACACACATGCAGCCCAGCTCCATCTGAAAATATACAGAGGCTGTGCATGTGGCTGGGATAGAAGTACAATTACCCCAGTGCCACACTCCCCTGGGCACTGCCCCTAGAAACACACATGACAGTCTTCATCCAGGATTCTAAGGTGTAGCCCCTTCCCTGCCGCCCAGGGGCTGACACCCTGACACGGCACCACAGCTCCCAGGAACCTCACCTCACAAAAGCGGCGAGAGGGCATGACAGTGGTGGCTATCATAGACATACAGTCATCACAGACCTCCAAACAAATGGATTTACAGACGCTTTCCAAACCCTAACCTGCTGTTCAGTAGATTTGCTCCCGTATAATATTTAAATTCAGGGACCAAAAGCACCTACATTAATGACACTGCATGCAGTCTGGTCAAAAGACACAGAACTGGTTTATGCCATCAGCGAATCAGAGAGATGTACACAGACAAGCAGGGGAAGAAGCAGACTCAAGGCCATGCAAAGAATCTGCGAGAGTACCATTCAGAGCTCACTATGACAGGAACGCTCTCTCTGCGATGCCAGGCAGGCGGGCCGGACCATGGCCCGGACGGGAATCTACTTACTGACCTTGGCAGATTTTATAACTGTCCTTGGGATACCTGCCACCTGTCAGAGCGAACCCAGCTGATCTGGCGTTGGGAGAGTGTGCTTAACTTTCCCCAGAGGCAGCTGGACTCATTAAATAAGAGCACCTTTCTCCTTTTCATAACAAAAGCTACCCTGGCAAGTAAAGCCAAGATGTGTCCGTGCTCTTTCTATAGCTTCAAGGTTCCCCGGAGCTGAATGACAGCCCGGTGGTAGCAGCAGTAACAAGAACAAACTTTGCTCTCATCAGTCACTGGAACTGCAACTGTGATTTGAAAAGCTCTCCCATTCTTTGCCTCATCCCCTTAAAAAAAAAACAACAACTGTGAAAACGCTTATGAATACAAAATCCTGGCTCTGAAAAGAGCAAAAGGGCCTTTCCCAGGTCTAGGCAGGCAAGCGCTTCTCTAGTCTGCTAGAACACTCAGAGCATTTTGGTGGTTTCTTAAATGCCTGCAGGGAAGGTTTTATTGCCTTTACAGCATGCCTCTCTTCTGCAACAGTGTGTGTATTTGTGCATGTGTGTATGTGTGTGCATGTGTATTTTGCATGTGTATGTACATGTGTGTGCATGTACATGTACGTGCATGTATGTATGCATGTTTGTGTG